CCTTTTACCTCTGACCTTTCATTAGCTGTTCCGATTATTTCCTGCTTCCTCTGACCTTGTTTCACATGTAAAATTGTTGCAACATGGATCCATGGGATGCAGGCATGCTCCTGGTGATGGTTATTATACTTCTACGCCAAAGTGCTGTAAGGAGACGTCGCTTTTGGGTGCACCCACTGATGAGAGAAAGAGATCCAAAGGGCCAGTTTGGGACTCTATATGCAGACCTTCGTGCACACCCAGACAAGTTTTTTTTCATACACCCGCATGTCGATATCTAGGTAGGAATGTTTGCATGTGATGTGTCCCTTGTGATGGAATCTATCTCACACTCTCTCTCTCTCTATCACTCTCTTTAACTCTCTATTTCTCTAGCAATCTCTCTCTATCACGCTCTCTCTTTCTCTATAACTCTCTATTTCTCTAGCAATCTCTCTCTCTCTCTATCACGCTCTCTCTTTCTCTATAACTCTCTCTCTATTTCTCTAGCAATCTCTCTCTCTCTCTCTCTCTCTATAACTCTCTCTATTTCTCTTGCAATCTCTCTCTCTCTCTTTGTCTATAACTCTCTCTGTCTGCTGTCATATAGCTCAGGGCACTGTTGAACCATACTTATAAATCTCTCTGGGTCACAAAACTGGTCCACCATTTTTCCTTTGCTCTCCAGCTCACAAGGTCACCTTTTCCAAAGACAGGAAGTGACAAAGGAAGATTAGGTCATGACAGATGACCATAGAGGTTTTTTTTCTTTATGGTTATTTTTTTCCCATTGAATTGCATTGGGTTGCGTTTTTGATGCGTTCCAGAGCAGGTAAAATAGGGCTTGCCGCAGTTTTTTCACCTGCTCTGGATCCGCACGCTGCGATGTGAACTGGAGGTCAAAATACCATAGGAATACATTGGACCCAGTTTTGATCCGGTCTGCACCTGCTCTGGATCTGCTCCGCGCTTGGTGTGAACAAGCCCTAAGTGCATCTGGTCCACTTGGTAAGTGCAACAGATTCCTCCATCTACGCTAAATTGTGTGGATGGAGGAATCTCCCACTGGGCCAAGCTTCAGTATCTTGCTAGTCGGCCCCGCTGGCTATAAATGCAGACATTGTTCAGGTATTTTGAGAGCCAGCGGGGCAGACTAGCAAGATACTGAATCTTGGCCCAGAGGGAGACTTCCCAATCCACACAGTTTAGCGTAGATGGAGGAATCTGTTGCACTTTTTCCATCTGCCCATAGAAAAGGTGCAGAAAAATCTATGTGTTTGGCCAGTTTTACACCATGAAACTCATTTGCGCCATCTGTTAAATGATTGAGCAGTACTCGTGACAATTAATTACAAGCTATCATAGCATGAATAAGCTACTAAAAATTCGCCATGTAGCTCTAGCCTCAGGTATGCAAATGACAATTTACCAACCTTGGATCCCATCTGCAACCAGGTGCCTCAACTTTTTGTTTTTTGACATGACTAAGAATGCTTTGGTCATGAGGCATAGACTTCAGTGCACGATGATGTAAAATGCTATTGGTTAATTTAGTGCACCAACATCATTCATAACTAAAATATTTTTAGGTGGATATAACCTTTGAATAGTAATATATAAATTGCCAAATTGTAACTCTTGTGGCTGATGAAAATAAGAT